TCTAAATCTGGCACTGACCATTTGCTTTCTATTCCTAAATTTAAACAAACAGGGATAGGGATGCATAGAGATTGAGAAGAGACAATTAAATAATTTTTAATATGACTAATGAATAAGAGTCCAAATTCTAAGACATTGGTGGCAAAAGCATAGTTTTAATACTATAATTTTGGAATGGGACACAGATATTATGGGTGATATAGTAATACAAATCTCCAGAAGATGATATTCATACTTTTGGTTTTAATTTTCTATCATAAAATTTTTACTTCTTATGCTGTTGCAGACCAGACAAAACTTTGACTCATGCTTCACTATTCAAAAAACTGCTATTGTGTGTTTTAGACAGTTCTCTCACATTTCCTACAATTATGATTTTTGTGTTATATTTTGTAATACCAAGATGAGCTGAGATATTGTAGAACATTTTGGGACATCTTTCCTTGTTCTCTTCCTACAAGGAATGATTTTATTTGTATTGTTATGTGGCTACAAAATTTAATTACTAGGGAAACAGATTCCCTCCATATGCAAAACATGGCTGTTTTGAAGTTATTAAAGGAAGAAATTTTACATTTTTCAGCAGGAAAAATTTACCTTAAAATGTTTTACTCTGATTATTTCTGTAAGTGAAAGGAAGTGTTGATATGCAAAAATAAAAGGGATTTTTTTCTCAAATACCTACTTGTTTGAATTTATAGACTTAAACACACATTTCAATTTTAATGTCAAAAAATGGTACTTATTTCAGTTCGTAAATATTTGATCAGTCACATAAATAATCTCTTACAAGAACTTCAGCATCGCCAATTTAAAAATACAATAAGTAACCTGACACAATTCAAAATGAAGTCTGTTATTTTCTTTGCAAATCATCTACACACAGAAACTTTTGTTACTGTAACTTCTTCATACCTCTCAGTATTGTTGGAAGCTGGTGAATAACAGAAATTCTTTAGAGGCAACTGTGCCATGTTTGAAAGAAGCCATTTTATTACATGAAAGAAGCCATTTTATTACATGACAATTATAGTTCTGCAGTATGTTCTTGGCAATGGCTTGGCTACTGGTTTAAAGGATCACAATCTACCTTGTATTTTGGATAGGATAAAGTTAATGGGTAATAAATAGGCTCAATAAGGCAGTGGAACTTTGGTTAAAAGTAGATGGGACCTACCTTTCAAATACTCAAAAGGCACATACAGCTAACGGCTAGAGAAATACATAATGTAGAACATTTCTATCATCACAGAAAGTTCTATTGATACTGCTGATCTAGATTGTCTAAGGGAAAAATAAAAATCAACACATATTTATTAATAAGTGAATGCTGGTAAACATGTCTCTTGAATGCGTTATCAAAGAGAGGTTTCAAAACATACTTGGAGGGTAAAAAGCATACATGGGGAGATTACATAGGGCAACATAAAAAGTGAAGGAGAAATATGCTTGGGTTACAGGGGTATCTGACCTTGGCACAACCTGGAGAGTATTTGGATGAAAGATGCTATGATGACTGGGGCTAGGAAGCAGGTTAAAATTGGGCTACTGAACATTTATAGTTGAAAATTTGCCCCTAGCTCAAAATTACCACACAATGAATGGTCTTCCCTTAGCACTTACTTACAAGTAAAGATAAACATAAATTAAAAAAAATGTGTGGTCCTTATCTAAAGAAACTGAACTTAGTGTCTGGAAAGAATCTTAGCAGTTAGTGTGGGCACCTCAAAATAAAGACCACTGCATTCTAGAATATGATAGTATCTTTCAGCAAGGAAGTCACCTCTCTGACTTGGCACATAGAGTAAAATATCCCAGTCAACAAGATCCGCCCAGGTAATTAGTGCTCCCCATCTTTCTAGTTTCTCATTCTTACATATAAATACATGGAGTATCACTAGCTGTATGAAGAAAGTCTACAGCCCAAAAAGAGAAAATGACAAGGAAACAGACAAATTCCTTGAAATACACAACTTACAAAAGCTGACACACACAAAACATGAACAATCTAACTACCCCCTATATCTGTTTAAATAATTGAACCAATTATCAAAAACTTTCCCACAAAAAAATAACTCCATGCCCTGATGGCTTTCCAACTGAATTCTTTGAAACATCTTAGGAAGAAATAATACCAACCTTCAATAATTTCTTAACCCCCCCAAAGAAAAAGAGAGTACCTTTCAACTTGTTTTATAGGAGTAGTCAAACACTGCTATCAACACTTGAAAGGGTATTACAAAAAAAAATACAGCCCATTGTCTGTCATGAACAAAAAGATATAAAAATCCTCAAAAACATATTAGAAAATTCAATCCAGCAATCTATAAAAAGTACAAGACATCATGACCAATAGGATTTCTTTCAGTTATTCCTGAGTAGATTCACATTCTAAAACCAAAGGCTGTAATTTATGACATTCCTACAAAGGAAGAACATCATATAATTGTGTTAATAAGTGCACAGAAAGCACCTGAATATGTTCAATACCTATTCACAATATAAACTTCATAAGCTGGGAATAAGGAGAAATTTCTTAACCTGATTAAGTGGACCTAAAAAAGTCCTACAATCAACATCATATCTAATAATAAATTACTTCACCTGAGACATAAATGAGCCAAGGATTCCCATTATCACCACTTTCATTAAACATTTATTTTGGAGGTCCTGGTATACGAGGTCTGACAATTAAATTTGCGAACTCATCCTAGAGAAAGCGCTCCATACCTCATTGCGGAATATCACTACAGTCACCTTCAAAGTACTCCCCTTGGGAAGCTATGCACTGATGCCAGTGCCTAGTTCACCCTGCAAAGCCATTTTGGAACTCTTTTTCTGGAATGGCCATCAGAGCTGTTGTCGTATTACCCTTGATGTCTGAATGTCACCAAAATGTCTTCCTTTCAATATTTCCTTTATTTTCAGGTAAAGAAAGAAGTCATTGGGGGCCAGATCAGGTGAGTAGGGAGGATGTTCCAATGCAGGTATATGTTTACTGGCTAAAAACTCCCTCGCAGACAGTGCCATGTGAGCTGGTGCATTGGCGTGATGCAAGAGCCATGAATTGTTGGTGAAAAGTTCAGGTCATCTAATTTTTTCACACAGCCTTTTCAGCACTTCCAAAGAGTAAACTTGGTTAACTGTTTATCCAGTTGGTACAAATTCATCATGAATAATTTCTCTGATATCAAAAAAGGTTAGTAACATCGTTGCACAAGTTCAAAAACTTAATTGTCAGACCTCGTATGTAAATAAATAAATAAATAAATCAAACCATAAGGATTGAAAAGAGAGAAACCACCTCTATTGGATGACATGATTATATACATAAAACAAGTACAAATGACTCTACAAACTGTTAATATTAATAAGTGAATTTAGCAAAGACACTGGATCCGTGCTGACTATACAAAAATCTACTCTTTTTATATACCGGGAACAAAGAGAAAATTAAAAATGAGTCCCATTTTTAATAGGATCAAAATTTCAAATATCTGGGATTCAATGTAATAAAACTTGTACAGGTCCTCTGGACCAAGAACTGCATACTATTATTAAAAAAACAAAGGCATTAAAGCAGACCTAAATAAATGGACATGAGAATGATTTTCCCAGATTAGATGAGGCAATATTGTAAAGGTGTCAATTGATCTACAAATTCAACAGAATTCCAATCAATATCCTGGCAGGCTTTAGTAAAAACTGACAAGTTGGTTCTAACATTTATTTGGTAAGCCGAAGAACCCATAATAACAAATGTAATCTGGACTAAGAAGAACAAAGTTGGAGGGATTATATTACCAGATCACGATTTTTAAAAAAACACACCAATTGTATGTATACACACAATGGAATAATATTCAGTCATATAAAAGGAATGAAGTTCTGATACCTGCTACAACATGGATGAGCCTTGAAAACATTATGCTGAGTGAAATAATTTAGACACAAAGGGATACATATAGGATGAGTCTACTTCTATGAAATATCTGGAATAGGTAAATTCATAAAGACAGAAAGGTTAGAAGTGGCTTTGTGTAGGGGGTTGGCGAGTAGGGGATGGGGAGTTATTGCTTAATGGTTATAGAATTTCTGTTTGGGGTGATGTAAAAGTTATGAAATTAGATGACGGCGATGATTACACACTGTGAATGTAATAAATGACACTGAATTGTACACTAAAAATCATTAAAATGACAAATATTATGGTATATATATTTTGCTACAATTAAAAAAATAAATATACCAAAACCATTGAATTGTACACTTTAAAATGGGTGAATTGTATGGTATTTGAATTATATCTCAATAAAGCTGGTAAAAAAATGACTATTAATAAACCAGTGTGGTTGTAGTTGAAGAACAGACATGATTAAATGTAAGAGAGTAGAGAACCCAGAAGCAGATTCATACATACACGTTTACTTGATTTATGACAAAGTCGCCACAATAGTACAGTGGGAAAAGGACTGTCTTCCAATAAATGATAGATGAATCGGTGTTGCTTTTCGCTATAAATTCATATGCACCACTCAGTTTTAAAGTGTAAGTACGCATTACACCTTGATAAACAAATTAAGTAACTAAATAATTAAATAAATAAATAAAACACCGTTTAGAGAAGGTTAGCACGCATTAAATAATTCTGATTTATACTTGTTGAACTGGACCACCTCCATGTTGCTTAAATACTGCCAACAGACACCTGAACACTGAATGAATTACTTCATCCCTTTTCCAGTCTAATTCTTTAGAATAATTCATGCAAAGGAACAGTGGTGTACATTTTGGCATTTGGTCATTAATGTACCATCATCTACCATCACTATTCTTTCCATTCACAATAAATCATTTGGCCAAATTAAACGACCAGGTTAAAAAAAAATAAATCCACATACGAGCCCTCCACCCTCCCCCGACTAATAAAACATCCATGAAACAAAACAAACATTTGCAACATTTAACACACGTGACAGGGGAGATGGTGAATGTCTAACCTTTATCCACTGAAGATTTGTCTGCTTGAGCTTATTTTCCAGTTTATCTTGTTCTTCTGGGTTTATGGGAGTACTTACAAGCACTGTTCCTCCGGTTTCATTTAATTGTTTTAGAATTCCCTGGCGCAGAGGCAACTCTTCTGCCAGTAACTGAAACAGACAAATGCAACAACTTTTAAAATGAATTACAGAACAATGCCAACTGCCTTGTCTTTGCCTCTATTGATTAACCTATCAAAACGAAGCAACTTGACCGAAGGCCCACCGGTACCTCCAATACCAACAGTTTTCTACAGAGCACAGAGCTGATAGACTGAAACACCCACTCTCGAGTAGATAAACGTATCCTAGAAAGGACTGGGATATCTTAGCCCTCAGAGATTTTTTTTCCAAGAGAAAGATGTCACGTAGTATCAGCTCTAAAACAACACCCGAAACAGACTTCAGAAACTGAAAACACATCTCTGTCACAAATAGAACAATCTGGATAAATTCATCATCCTCTCAGGTATTCAGCCTCCATGCTGTAACATGACGCAGAATAAGAAACTGCATGACCATATTAAGAAATAACTAATATTTAGAACATACCAGGTACTAGGCACTGTGCTAAACTCTTCACATCTATTACCTCAGTTAATTTTTATGTAATAATTCTATGAGGTAGAGCCTATTATCTTTATCTTATATTGAAGGAAAGTGAAACAGAGGTTGAATACCAACAGAGAGGTTCAGTACCAGATTCAAGGACAAAAAATGTAGCAAGCAACGGAGCTGTGATTCAAACTTGGATGGTTTCATTCAAGAGCCCTTAATTTTGACTCTTCCACATGCCTGAATTTCTCTTATTCATTTAGCATCACATTACAAAAGCCTTTCCCCAGACCTATAAAACCACCGTGGTTTTAATAACTGTCTTTTATTTATTTCTGTCATCTACAGTTTTAGTGTTCAATGCAGTACCCTATCCACAAGAGGCTATTTAAATTTAAATTAAGTTCAATAAAATAAAAACTCAGTTCCTCAGTCCACACTAGCTACCTGTCAAGTATTCAAAAGGCACATATAGCTAGTGGCTACTGAAATACATAATGTAGAACATTTCCATCATTACACAAAGTTCTATTGGATACTGCTGATCTAGATTGGCTAAGGAAAAAAAATCGATTCATATTTATTAATAAGTGAATGCTACTAAACATGTCTCTTGAATGGCTTATCAATTATATTGCTATATATGACACTGAATACATTTAGAAAAGCTGAATTTTCAAGAACAGGCTGAGTTCATTTTTCCATGACATAACCATATTCAAATGAACTATGGATTCAAAACTTTTTATTTTTGAATCTCAAAAACCTAGTGCAATATCTGACATATAGTATGTTCTAAATATTTATTTACTGAAATAAGCAATATTTCTTAAATGTATTGGGGTGACGGATGGTTAGTAAAATTACATGGGTTTCAAGTGTACAATTCTGTAATACATCATCTGTATATCACATTGCGTGTTCACCACCCAGAGTCAGTTCTCCCTGCATCACCATATATTTGACCCCCTTTACCCTCATCCCTTACCCTCTGATAACCACTAAACTATTATCTGTGTCTATGAGGTTTTGCTTCTTTGTTTGTTTGTCTTGTTCTTTTGTTGCTTTCAGTGTCACATCCCACATATGAGTGAAGTCATATGGTTCTGAAATATTTTTAGTTTTATACTTTATCTTCTGTTCAGGTACGAATTTCTTGCTTCAGAGAAATAACTGGTTGACACTGGAGTCTAATTTGCATGTGCAAACCAACTGAATCATTGCTAGAGGGACAATTCCACTTCCCTTTGATTGTGTGACCTTGCAAAATGAGCATAATAGCAACCATTTTGAAAGTCTGATATGAAGATGAAATAAAATAGCAGATGTAAATACATCTAATGCTTAGTACATAATAGAAGATGATTAAAAGTGAATATCCTTTTCCCTTTCACCTTCTCTTCAAGATTTAAAATAAAACAGATCCCAAAGTGTTTCCTTCCTAAAACTAAAATCATGAAAGTTAATCCAACTGTACAAGTAGAGCATGTCAGCCAGCCAGGTGAGGTAATCAGTGAGAAGCAGACATGACAGTAGGAAGGCATGAAAAGCAACTTGAATAAACTGGATGTCTACTCAACTGGTATAAGAATGTAAACCAACACCACCACCCCCACCACCCAAAAACCCCAAAACATTGTTTCAGACAAACTGAATACTTTTAATTAGAGGCTGAAGTAGTGGGATTCATTTGGCAATTAAGATCTTCCCTAAGAAATGGGATTCATTTCTATAAAGATTCTCCCCAGTTTATAAAATAATTTGCAGCTGCGGATTTCTCCAATAAGTCTAAAATTAATTTCAAATTAGTTGTAAAACGACTGCCATGCATTTCCCTTATGTATATGTGTGTGTGTGTGTGTGTGTGTTTATATACACACGCGTATTTTAAAAAGATATACATGTTGAAAACACTGGGTTAAGACAAAATAAAGTTGTAAGAAAAACTAGTGAAAATCTATCAATAACCTAACGGGGATGGAATCAATGATTAAATAAATTAAAAAAAAAGATTCATCTACTTTTTTTTTTTAATTAGGGAATTGGGGGAGGGGAACAGTGTTGGGGAATTGGGGAAGGGGACCAGCCAAGTTGTTGTTCTTCACTCTGCTGTGGAGGGCACCAGTCGCCATCTGGTTGTCTGTCGGCAGCTCATGGCTTCTAAGCTCAAGGTGCTGTGTTACGATCTTAGTTGTGGGTGGGCGTAGCCACCATCCCATGCAGGAGTCAAACTGGCAGCCTTGTTGTTAAGAGCATGTGCTCTATCCACTGAGCCATCTGGGCGGCAGCTCAGCTCAAGGTGCCGAGTTCAATCTTAGTTGCGGGTGGGCATAGCCACCATCCCATGTGGAAGTCGAACTGGCAGCCTTCTTGTTCAGAGAACATGCTCTATCCACTGAGCCATCCGGGTAGCAGCTCAGCTCACGGTGTTGAGTTCAGTCTTAGTTGTGGGTGGGCATAGCCACCATCAAACAGGCAGTCTTGTGTTAGGAGCATGTGCTCTCACCAGCTGAGCCATCCTGCCACCTGTTGGAAGCTCAGCGGCAGCTCAGCTGAGGCACAGCATCACTGGCCCATGTGAGAATTGGACCAGCAGCCCTTTTGCTCAGAGCTTGCGCTCCTAAGCTAACTCTTAACCAACTGAGCCACTTGGCTGGCCCGATTCATATACTCTTTATACAAGTGGCCCTGGGGTATTTTAGAAAATAAAATTACCTGGACTTGTTCGAGTTTTTCTTTTAGCAGCTGCTCATTTCCAGGTTCAAGTGGAGTACTAGTAATGTTATCCACTTCTTCCAACCATAAAACAAATTCATTTAAATCTCTTTGAAATTCTGACAAGATATTCTTTTGTTCTTCTAGCCTGGAGAAAGAAGAATAAAATTGTTATAAATAACACATTTCTCCAACTTTCTATTTTTTTTAAAAACAATACAAAACAAACCAAAAAACCACAGCACAGTTTTCAAGAACAGAAGCAATTTAAAGATGTTAATACAATTTTTAAGATAATTCATTCACTTTGAGCAATTTCAATATATCAAAATGTCCAACATGTGAGATTAAAATTGGTCAAGAAAAAATTTGAATTTTAAAATTCCAACATTATTTTATTAAACCAGAGCAGTGTTTCATAACCCCAGCACTGCTGATATTTAGGGTTGGATAATTCTTTGTGTTTAGGGGTTGTCTTGTGCACTGTAGGCTTAGCAGTATCCCCAGCCTATTCCCACTGGATGCCAGTAGCACTCCCCTGGTTGTGACAACCAAAAATGTCTCATTGCATTGTCAAATATTCCCTTGGTGGGCAAGCCTATCCCTGATTGAGAACCACTGCACTAGAGCAAGTATATCATACAAAGTTGCATGTTTTAAAATGCTTAAAATAAAATGCACCTTCATGAAAAATTGTAGGGTAAAAGACAAGGGATTAAAACAAAAACAAGATTATTACATGTTATAATGTTTTCCAAATGATGACTCACAATCGTTTGTGAGGAAAGGGGAAAATTGATTTAAAATATTTAACTTATGTTGTACTGGTGGAAGTTTTTAATTATAAAAACACATCTACTATGTTATTCAATTAGCCATAAATTTATTGTTACATATTGAATTGCAACACAGCTGAGCAACATGATCTGCACTTAAAATAATTTACAGTTTTTTGTTTTGTTGTCTTTTGGGAGCCACATATATGTCTTGTAGGTAAGCTTTTAATCGAACTATAATATACATATAGAAAGTACACATATAACTGTATAGCTCAATATAGTTTTACATTCTTTATTTGATGGCCACCTGTTGGCAGCTCAACTCGGGCCAGGAATTGAACTGGCAACCCTGTTGCTCCAAGCTCGCACTCTTGACTGAGCTCTTAACCAACTGAGCCACTCAGCTGGCTCAATATAGTTTTAAAAACTGGACACACCAAATAACCAGAGAAGGGGACAGAATGTTATCAGAAGCCCAGGGCCCCCCCAACCCTTGTCCCTTACAGTCATACCCTGTCAACTCAGATTACTTTGCCTGTATTAAACATTATGTATATGGAATCATATAGTATATACTCTTTTGTGTCTTGTCTTTTTCACTCAACATATGGTTTACAATAATCATCCATGTTATGTGTAGATTAATTTGTTTATTCTCCTGGCTGTTCAGTATTGAATTGAAGAAACATATAAACATATCTCTGTTGGTGGGCATTTGGGGTTGTTTTAGTTTTGGGGTTAATTTTTTTTTGCTTCAAGTTAACAAATATTTGTTGAGGGTTTACTAACTTCCAGGAACTCTACTGGGCATTAGGATTAAAGATAGACATGTAGAGGGTGACCGGTTAGCTCAGTTGGTTAGAACGTTGTGCTGATAACACCAAGGTTGCCGGTTCGATCCCTGCATGGGCCACTGTGAGCTGTGCCCTCCCTAAGAGCCAACTACGCCATTGTAGCATGAAAGTAATGTGTAACCATTGACCATGGCTGTTCCCCAATAAAATTTAAAAAATAATTTTAAAAAAAGATAGATATGTAGCTTGCTTTGAGGATCTCATAGTCCATGAGAGGCAACACGCATATAAACCCAGGACTCTGATGGGCTATTGTAGGAGGATAAGGTATTTCAGAGGCAGGGTATAGGAGATGTCCCAGAGAAGTTAATGGTTCACCTGGGTCTTGAAGCGTGAAGAGAGATCCCATGTCTGGGAATAAGACACAGCCTGTCTCATTCACAGCCTGTGCAAAGACAGGGTGTTGAGGGAACTACAATTACACTCGTTCCCCAAATGAGATCTGGCTGTTGGATTTATGCTTATCTATACTCAGTTTTGCTCTTTGATGACAGCTTGTCGAAAGTCATTTCTGGGGCACATGAGGAGATATTCTCTTCTCTATCTATTCTCAGCACAGCTGGTGCTATGAAAACCCAAGTCATATTATGGGATCCTGTGAAAACCCAAGTCATAGGATGTCACTGTTGCACTTGAAACTCTTCTATAGCTTCCCAATTCATTCCCAGCAAAAGCCAGTCACTACCAGCATTCTGCAAGGCTCTAGGATGGGTTCTTTCCAATATGCTAGGCACAGTGGCTACTGAGCACCTGAAATGATGTAAATGGAACAAGATGCACTGTAAGTGTACAGCTCACACCGGATTCCAAACACTTAGTACCAAAAACGAACTGTATACTTTCTTCTCACTTTTGCTGTGAACCTAAAACTGCTATCAAGATAAAATGATTTTTAAAATGGAAAAAGTCAAATACCTCATCCCTACCTTTTATATAATGTACAAATTGAAAAAATAATATTTTTAACATATTGGGTTCAATACATTCATTTCACCTGTTTCTACTTTTTTTAAATGCAGCAACTAGAAACGTTTTAATGAGGTATCTGGCTCACCTTATTTTTCTGTTGAACAGCACTGATCTATAAAATCTGCAAATCCCCTCTCTCCTTTCCTCTTTGGTCACATTTTCAGCGACTCTCTATTTCTCTTATCCTTCTTGAGACCCACTGGCTTCCTTGCTGTGCTCCTCAAATACACGAGGTGTGCCCCCACTTCTGAGCCTTAGCACTTGCTGATTTTTCTGCCTAAAATGACCTTCCACCTAATATCAAACACGGCAATCTCCCTCGCTTCCTACAAGTCTTTCCTGATGATCCTACTTTTAAAATTACCTCTCTCCTCTCAAGTTTCTATCCTTTCTTCCTGTTGTGTCTTTCTCTTTACTTCTTAAAACTAACAGATACTATAATTTCGTTGTTTTGCATATTACCCATCTTACACACATGAAATTAAGCTTCCTGGGGCAAGGATTTTTGTCTCTTTTGTGAGTATTTACTGCTATAATCTTTGTTCCTGGAACGATGCCTGGCACAGAATTGATGCTAAATAGATAACTGTTACATGGATGAATTCTGCCATCATTCTTTTCAATCCTGTATGCATTTCTGTTTTAAAAGAATCTTTCCCATTCTTTGCAATACTGATCTCAAAACATGGCCTAATTTACTCACCAATGTACACTACAGTATTTCACTAAATTAAATACATCCTCAGTTGCAGGTCATACAGTACCATACTAAGTACTACCTGGCTTTGGAGGGGAGGGGGGTGAGTGGTGAATGCTGCTGATTAATCTAAATTATCACTTAGAAGTGTTATTTTACAGGCCAGCCGAGTGGCTCAGTTGGTTAAGAGCTTGCTCAAGAGTGTGAGGTCTGAGCAACAGGGTTGCCGGTTCGATTCCCGGCCTGAGCTGAGCTGCCAACAGGTGGCAGGATGTGGCTCAGCTAAAAAACAACAAAAAACGAAGTTTTATTTTACTAAGAAACTGCTCTTTTAGATTTATTTAAATTTTTGTCATATATTCCTCTTGCATATGCATAAAAAGTAAAATATAAGTGAAAAAACTGGCGAGGTATTCCTAAAACGTCCTCATATGTAGAGTCTGACTCCCATATCACGTTCCCTTCAGAGTAACAGATGTCCATCCTTTCCCACACAATATCGCCCTCTGCGGTATCGAGAGTGTTGACAATGTAGCATTTCTTAAGGGGGCTCCACTATTGCTTTTTGGATTGTCTTCTAAGGCACATGTGGCCAGGCTGGCAGAGATTATAAAACCATCCAGAATTCAGTGATGTTAATGTGATAAAACATGCACATTAGAGTGGATGAGTTTTGGTTAGTCTGCACAGCCTCCCACCACTGACATAATGACTTGGGTTCTTTTGGCTGCTACCGAGTTGCCTGTTGTTTCAGGATTTGAAAAAAATTCATAATGTGGCAGTTCACTGTTATCTTTATTTTGTAATGATGAGTGGATATGAGTATTATTGCCATTATCTACCTGATGATCGAGCTTATTTTCTGTTAATAGAGTCAATAAAGTTTCGGCATTACTTTCCATGGGAATTAGTGTTTGATTATATGAGTTTTTGCCAATGACAAATATTTTGCCCGCCCCCCTTGTACATACAGAGTAAGGATGCCTACATTGATGCCCAATGTCCACATTACTGGTTAGTGAAGCTGGTGAGGTGGCTGGAGGCCGGATTATGAAGAACCTGAAGGTTTTGTTTTAATCTGTAAGTGACAAACTACTTAAAGGTCTGGAGTAGGGAAAGAGTTGTTTCATCCAAAGCTCACATTGGCTACTGTGTGGAGAATAAATGTGGGCAAGGGTGATAAGAGACTGAGGCATCAAGCAAGAGAATATCTCATTAGGCCAGGTGATAAAGTAATAAACGTCCAAGTTATGAAGATGTAGCAAGGGAAAAGGAGAAGACAGGATATGTTTAAAATGTAGAAGAATCAACAGGACTTGGGGATAAAAAGAGAGATATTAGTATCACTAGCTAATAACTACTGAGTACGTATTACATGGCAGCCACTGAATCGAGTACCAACTCCTCCCATTACTACTATGCCCTGGACACACCATGAGACTTAGTATTTTGCCCAAGATCATACAGCTAATAAGAGTTCAATCCTGGATCATCTGGGTCCAGAGTCTAGTAGCGTTCCCACCTTATCTGACTGAGTAGATGGTATTTATTTCAGCTAAGACTACATTTCATTGTATTGGATATTTAAGGGAAATTGCTAGTTAAACAAAAGAGATCTGGAGCTCAGGGGAGAGAGGAGAGCTAAAAATATGGACTTCAGAGTCATCAGCAATGATTGGGTGGAACACACATGGTAAACGAGCTTTTGAACTAATAACATACACTTCACATTCGGCATCTTCCGAGTCCACCTTTTCTTCATTTTCAGATTAATGATTGGCAATTCTACCTACCTCCTGCTTATTTAAATTGAAGGAGAACTGACTCTGGGTGGTGAGCACACAATGTG